ATTCAAGTGTCCAATACAATACAAAGTTAAGAAAATTAAGGGAGAGTAGGCTTTCTCAATTTGGGATCCTCCTTCTGTGACATCTAACCCTTAACATCTTTTCTTTACTCTTTGCTTCCTTCCTTGGAACTTGGTATTTCTTAGTACTATTTCCTTTCCTCCTTCCTTAGAACTCCTGGGGCCCCAGCTGCTATGAGGCTCTCTCCCAAACTCTGGAGTAGATAAGATATTTCCCCTGTGATGGCCCTGATCCCCTCTGTGCTATTGCAGCCAGCCAAGAGCAAGGTTTATGCTCCTCTGCCTATGGAGTCCTATCCCAGCACTTGTCTCTGTAATTCCTCAAGCTCCTAGTCCCGGAATCCCAACATTTGCTCAGATCCAGTTCATGGAGACTCACCCCTCAGTTGTTTCCCTTCTCCTGGAAGATAGTTTTCTATCATAAAAATGGAGAGAAGGGGGAGGTCACGTTCTGAGGCTATCTTAGAATTGCTAGGAAGGATCAGAATTGGAATATAATTTTTTTTTTCAGTTTAGTTCAAAAAACATCAACTAGACATACTGTATGGGTATATATTGTACCCGGAATTGTAGGAGTAAATGATGAAATGCATACTGCTCTCAAGAGCCTTACAACATTGTTGGGGAAACAAATATGTAAATATAGAATTTTAACACAATGTTTAAGTGCAGTAATAGAGGTAAAATTGATAGTAATCTTTAATGCTAACTTCTTTTTTAGCACTTGCCATGTGCCAGATACTGTGATACACACTTTATCTATCGCATTTTATTTGATGTAATTGAAGAGGTGGGCAGTGGCCGGATCACAGAGAGCCTTGAACTCATGTGGACCCAATTAAGACTTTATCCTGTACTTAATGGGGACTCATTGAAGGATTTGGAGAAGAGTCATAGTAGGATCATATTTACCTTGTAAGTAGATCAAGTTTAAGGAACAAGAAAGACACTAGGGGAGACCAGGCCAGGGACATGAAGACTGGAATTAAGACAGTAGTTTTAGAGAAAAACAGGAGTACTCAGACTCAAAAAAATTTTTGAAATTAAAATTAGTGGGATTTGTTGAATGGTTGATGAGGATGTAGATTTTAAGACAAGGAGTCAAAGATATTGCTCCGATTTTGACTTAGATGACTCGTAGACAGCGATGTCGTTAATGAGATGAGAAGTAGATGAGTAGAAGCAAGTCTGGGAGATGGCGGGAAGATGATGTGTCTGCTTCGGACATGCTGAAACGGAAGTAGTCATGGGACAGTCAAATGTAGATGCCCCCCAGGAAGTTAGATTTGACAGCCTCAAGGTCAGGGGAGAATCCAGGCTGGCGATAGAGTTGTGTGTGTCTTTGTTGTCAGTTTTCCTTTTCTCCTTTCCCATCACCCATGCATCCTGTTTTACTTTCCTGTATTCTTGCCCATGCATTGCGTGTATTCTGACTAATTAACAAGAACCAAGCAGTAATTTCCACTTCCCTCCTCCTGATTGTAACCCAAGTCTAAATGAGGCTGTCATGATTTGAAGGAAATGTAAATTTGCTGGTTCAACCCGGAGATGAAATGCATCACTGTCTTGTAATTCATTTAATTTCTCCTTGACATTTCCATCCTAGAAATCAAGTGATTTCTGCTGGCATTTTATGCAGGACCTAATCTGAAATCTGTGTGTGAGTTGTGTATGTATTTTAGTAGTAAGTGTACACTGGTCTCTGGTCTTTTATCCACCCTCAATAAAAAAAGACACAGGAATTCATGAGAGTAAACCAAAAGTCATTGGCATCTAGCTTGGGAATGCATTCTGTGATTATCTGATTATATGTTTACTTTATAAGTATGTTTTATGAAAGCTGACATTGAAGAGTGCTTACTTTTCCTAGGCACACAACATTGGCTGAGATGCACTAGGAACAGCTAGATAAGAGAGAGACTAAATTAAGACTTGTTATGTAATAGAAATAGTCCAGATATCTGTAAATAATCCAGAAAAATCATGGAGAGTTGCATGATGCATGCAACTGAGGCTATATGAGTCCAAGGTTATATCATTAGACCCTTGAAGGAAATGTATCATTGTAAGCATGGAGTTTTACCTGGTGTATATTATGAGTGAATTAATGATTCACAATGCGTTCTGAGGTTACTCTGACAATACAGTCTCTCTTGGCATGCTTTTGGCATGACGAGTCTCAGGAATGCTATTGGCTTTCCCAGATAGCTGAATCACAGAACACTGGATATTTGTTCCCACAGCCTATCAACCATGGCAGCTATTTGAGACTATCTCTTGGCAACAAGATAAATACTCTGACTGGAGTGTTATACTTCCTAACAAAGCTTGTTTCATGTGCAGACTTCCTCACACTCATGACTGGCCCAGGGCAATATTTTAAAATAGGTGAGGTTTGCTTTTTATTACCTTGGATTTCTGGGCCTTCCCTCTCTGTGGTCAGTGCTCTCTCTCATTCAAAGCCTTCTCATTGTTTCGCTTCATCCTCTGCACACCCTGAAACTTCCCCTGGCCACCTCAGCCCATCAAAACCCTCTCTGAAGGAATTTAGATACACGTATTATTTCTTCCTGAACGATTTAACATGCTAAGTTTTATTGCTAATTGTAAAAGGAGACATTTGTTCCCTGATAAAAATATTTTAAGAAGTATTTGCTGGAAGATGTTTTAACCATGCGGTCCTCAAATTCACATCATAGAGGTGACATTTGGTCCTGCTCTCAGCAACAGCTACTTACATGTCTAGAGTGAGCCATGCTATCTAAACACTAAAGCTAATTAGTATTAATGATCTTTATTATAAAGTAAATGCTTCAGTACATCTAATTGAAATCCATTAATAAGATGAGATTATTACATGGAATTTTATGTCAAAACGGAACTTCTCTTTTGATCAACAATTGTATCATGTTTTGGATAATTTCAGTGACCTTACTGCTGACACGTAGATGATACGTTTTTCTAATTTACGTATTTTCTATCAGCAAATTACAAGAAATGGGTAATTATGGAACTACCAGTGGTGGCTTGTGAAAGTGAGGGGGAGCATAGAAATGCTTTGCCATGCACTGAACATGAGCAGGTCAGTTAGCAAATACTTAATGGGCACCTAATATGAGCCAACCACCTGTGCTAGCCATTGGGCAAAGCCATCATGGTTGCCGACTTCACAGCACTTACCTTCCAGCAGGGGAGAGAGACACTGAACAGATCGATGCCCAGCCTCCTCAGTCACAGTTGGATGGGCATTTCAAAGAAAAAGCACAGTGTGTGCAAGTCTCCAAGTCTGAGTAATACAGCTATTTTACTTGAAGGTGAATCTTCCTCTTTCTAGTGAAATTGGTATTGCAAGTTTACTCATTAAGTTGTTTTCCTCGTTTGAGTACTACTTCCCCTACATATATGATTCACTTTAGTGCTACTGGACAGGAAAAATGCCTCAGCGTTGATATGTTGATAATGTATTTCTGGTATGCCTGCTGTGGAAAACGTGGGAAAATTTTAAAGTATAAAAAAATGATAAACATCTATAAAATCACCACTCAGAGCTAATCAATATTTGTGTTTTGACACATTTTCTTCAAGTCATATTTTTGCATATACTTTTATTTATATAGTTGATGTCATGCTGTATAGATAAGTATATATCCTTATTTTTTTCCACCTATGATTATTTTCCTGGGAGATAAGAAAGTAAGAGAATGAGAGACATTCTGTTTCATTATGTTCAGCTTCCATAGAAGTGATCTACCCTACCACTCTTTCAGGTTATTTGAGAGACTTTAATCTTGTTTATTTTATAACGGTAAGGACCACCTTGTAGTAGCTGGGGTTTCTTCTAGTTGACCTATTGGCTGGATTTATTGTGCTGTTCTCCTAAGAAATAGACCCTTGTGTTCTTTGTTTTCTGGATTTCCATATTTTTTTCTTCTTAAAATGCCACTTTTTACAAGTCACTTCCTTTCTCCAGAGTTTATTGCCTTTAAATCAGGTCTCATCTCAGTCTGGTATCTAGGGCCCCTCTGTAAGATGTTCTCCCCTTTTTACCCTTCCCCTCCCCTGCAACAACTCTGCTCCAGGCAGACTCAGGAGACACTCCAAGATCTGTGCTTCGCACTCCTGAACTTTTAATGTCTTCTCATTTCAATCTTCAATTTTTTTCACTTATCACAACCCTTGCCTTTGAGATGCCAACACACACTCATCAGCCCTTTCCCTTCCTTCCCATGACACTCAGCATCAGCACCACTCAATTTGGGTCTTAATTACATCTTATCTTTTACAACTTTCTTTAATTGTTTGATGTGTGAAAATACTGTCTTCTCATACCAAATTCATAAAATTGCTCTAATTTAGGAAAGAGGGCAAGTCCCAAACCTGGCTACCAACAGTCACTCTGTAATACTAGCTAATACTGTAGAACACTTACCATATGAAGGGTAAATATATATGCTAAGTACTTGACAGACATTATCTCATCTTCTTCACACAAGCCTGTGTCATTTAGGAATGCTTTTGGCTGCAAATAACAAAGGACTCAAGATGTCTAAAAATAACTTAAACAGTCCAGGCTTACTTTTTATTACCTCATGTAACAACAACAGCAAGAAAAATTGGAGGTAGGTAGTTGCTGGAATTGGCTCAGGAACTCTCTGGTGTCAGGGCTCTGGCTTGGTGTCTGCGAATTTCTTGGCGGTCCTCCACCATTGCAATATGGCTATATCATCTCCTGGCATCATGTCCTCACACAACTAGGCTCAAATGGTTAATGAGTCAGAAGACAGAAAGTGTATCTTGGAATTTTTGACTATTCATTAGCACAGAAATATAGAGGGGAAAGACTTGCAACTGAGGCTGACAGGTTTTGGAGAATTTTGACAGGCATACGTAGATATTGCCAAATTCTTAAGTTTCTGAGTGACGTCCTCCAACAAATTTCTTAAATTGTGCCTTTGCAAATAGGCATTTCTATTCTTAGCAACGTGTGAGTAAAATGTTGAATCACTCAAAGGATGTAGATTAGAAAGAGAAAGGAAAAAAAGCACTTCGTGGGAGGGGCAGAGCTTTATAAAACCAGACATCACCATACCTGAACTCTAACAACTCCCAGAGCAGCGGTTCCTGTCAGACAGCACCTCAGAGAACAGCAAGGTATGTCAGCAGTTTCCATGGCCATTTCTATGGGGAAAATAGTTTCATTTTTTTCTCTTCTTTCATACTGGTATTATTAATACATTAAAAATTAAAATATGGCATGTTTTAGAGGGTGAGTAAACACTTAGTGGTGTTTTCTTGTTTAGTTTGCTTGTTTAACTGAAAATATTTTAACTCAAGGTTTTAATTAAATTTATAAAGTTTAATCTTGAATTTTCAGAAGCCAGCAAATGCCTACATATAATATTAATCTATCTAAAACGCACATTCAATATGTGATATCAACTTTATTGAACAGGTTAGAATATGTGTGCTCTATACTAGCCACTGTTTTGACACTGAATTTGGTGGAAACATCTAGATAAATGTAACTTAAAATATTTTCATTTAAGCAATTGAAATAATCTATAAATTGTATATAAGCAAAAGGAAAAGATGACTCAGTTTTCATCTAACATGAACAGTCAAAAACTGGAGAAATTAAGCAGCAATTTAGGTTGAGTCAACCCAATTCCAAAATATATTCACTGAATTGAGTTAAATAATGGATTAATTTAGTGAAAGAGAAAAATTAGTTGTTGGGTTGACTGAAGTGATAGTTCAATTAAAAAAATCTAATTACGCATAAACAGACAATTGTTTATTATGAAAGTCATCAAATAAAAGAAACTAATTTTAAATTTTGTGGGAGAAAAAACTGATAATTTTGGATGAGACATTTTCTCGAAATTATTGTTTTCTTGTAGTTCTCATTGTTTGCTGTGGTCAATTTCAAAGGATTTTCACTGTGTAGTCACAAAAAATTTTTTTTGGATTGTTGCATCAGACTCAAATCTGACATCCAGGGCCACAGAGAAAAGGAACAGTGGTGGTGTCCCTGGCCAAACCCAGAGCTCTTCATCACCCAGGCCAAGTTTCAGTAGCACACTTGTCAGCTTGTGTTACCGGAACCAACACAAAAATCAGGGAGTCCAGCCCCACAATATGGTTTCCATCCATTCTTCCCAGTGATACTATTAAACATTCAGTGCATAATATTTGGAAGTCACTGAAATCATACAACTTAGTACTGTGTTAAGAAATTCACAACAGGTGTTACCTATTCTGGGAGATGGTGATATTTGACATCATTCCATGATTTCAGTTTCACATTGTCTTAGGCAGGTTCCCATCATGGCCACATAATCCCAACATACAGCACGTCTGGTCTGAGAATCAGGCATGCTGCATACTTGTGCCTTCATAGATTTCTAAGACTATGAACTGCTCAAACCTTCTCTGAAAGTTTGTAGGAAAAGCACTAGACTTGGAAGAATCACAAGGCTAGGGTTCAATCTAGACTCTGCAACCAACTATGTGCAACTTACATCTTCATATTTTTCACTGGCGGAACAGAACTGTCAAGCTTTACTGGGCAAATAATTTGGAGCCCTGGTGGCACAGTGGTTAAGAGCTATGGCTGTCAACCAAAAGGTGGGCAGTTCAAATTCACCAGCCGCTCCTTGGAAACCCTATGGGGCAGTTCTACTCTGTCCTATAGGGTCGCTATGAGTTGGAATAGACTAGATGACAACAGGTTTTGGGCAAATAATTATGCAGGTTAAACAAAAAATGTAGCTGAAGGAATTTGATAGGTGCAATAGAAAACGTCAGGTACTACTTTTTAATGTAAAATGCAAGTAATTGAATCTTATTTTAAAATATAAAATTTAAACTATTTTTTGAAAGAACTAAATGAATCTGAGACAATCTGGTTCTGTTCTGATTAACTTTTGTTTTTTTGTATTAAGTCACTTGAAATCCTAACTTGGCATTAAAAACCCTCTGAAAGTTTGCCTTGACACTTAAATTTTTTTGTGTGTCAAAGTGAATGACTCATTATTCAGGTTGTTACGGAGAACTGGGTACAGGAGAACCCTAATTTACTTCTCTGGCTCTGACTTCTTATTTACTTTTTCACATGGGAATAGAGAAATATTATTTATGTTATTAATACTCTGTTTCCAAAAAGAGTATTGAGACAATTTGTCAATAAAGACCTATACAATCAGGCTAATTAATTATAAAGACTATTTTGAATTGATAGAAGGAGGAAGCAACAAATACCTGAGCCACCCAAGTTAATTTAGCCTCTGTGATGAAGCAAGAAAAAAAGAATAGTGATACATATTTTTTTAAATTAATAAAACCTTATAGGAGCATTGCAGGCTTGCTACTTTCCTCTTTTGATTTCCCCTTTTTAGCACTTCTCAAGCTGGTAACTTGCTGAAACTCTTACACATGATAGCATCAGCAGATAAGGGAGTGTGGGGCACTAGAAATGGTGAGTTTCCTCAGACAGACCTGGATTTGAATCCCTGCACATTGCGTAGGAGCGGTGTGACCTTATGCATGTTACTTAACTTCTCTGAGCCTCAGGGTGTAATCTATAAAATAGAGATAATGGTATCTATCTCATATGAATCCTGGGAAGATTAAGGAGACAAGAGGAGGTGAGTGTTTCAGAGAAACTTTCACTTAATTCACTACTTTTTCTCGATAAAACACCATTGGGTGGTATTTTGAATGAGAAATTTTGATACAAATTGCAATTACTTTCTGAAAAAGAAGAGTTCACAGGTCAAGAATTCACATGAGACACCCATGGATTAAGGAGTAGACCACAGCTGTAAACAGGAAGACAATAGCTATAGGACATGCCTTGTGCTGGGCACTCCCAGCCCCTCCCCAACTCTGAGAAGTCACTGTCACAAGATGGTTTCCCATGGGAATGATGAGAGTCAGCATCTCTCTATTTATTTATATATTTTGGTAATTATAGGGTGTGTTTTAAGCTACTATGAAAGAGTAACACACAGCCTGAAACCTGATCATTGGCCAGGACCAACAGATACCCGGCACCCTTTGGGTGTGTCCAAGCATCAAGCTGCACATGGGGCCTTAGGTCATACAAGGCATGTCTGTCTATGTTCAGATGGCTGATAAGTTGAGGAAGTATGTTTCATAAGCCTAGATTATTCCTTTATGGGGTGGGTGGGGTGTGGGAAGCGTGGCTATCCCTGCACTCCCAGCAATGAACATCAAAGCACAAAACTCCCCAGCATAGGGAGTCCTTTTTTAGCAAGTGTGTGGGGTCTGGGTGAATGCACCAATCTTCATACAATCGGTCTAAGTCACTTCTAGAATTAGGGGGCTTGAAAGAAGATTGTGGCCAACAAGGATATGTATGCATGTGACATGCATTTGGATATGTGTGCATTTGCCTGTATGTGAGTGTGTATGGTGTGTGCATGATGTGTTTGTGGGTTCAGCATAGAGTTGAGAGCATGACCCTGGAGTCAGTTCCTAGCTCCGCCACTTATAGTTGAGCGACATTAATTAATTTTCTTAACCTATCTCTGCAGCAGTTTCTTCCCTTGTAAAGCAGGAATAGCAGCACCTTCCTCACAGGGTTTCTCTGAGGATTAAATGATTAGTACAGGTAAAATGTTTAGAACAGTGCTTGTTATACAGTAAGAATTCAATAAATGCTACTTATTGTTATTGTTAACATTATCATCATTATTATACGGAGTGCCATAAGGGGTCACTACTTGTCATATGACTTTTCATTATACCTCAGAATCAGCTACATAATTTGCAGGGCCTCTTATTTAATGGAGCCCTGGTGGTGCAATGGTTAAGAAGTGGGCTACTTACTAATCAAAAGGTCAGTAGTTCAAATCCACCAGCCGCTCCTTGAAAACCCTATGGGGCAGTTCTACTCTGTCCTATAGGGTCGCTATGAGTTGGAATTGACTTGACAACAATGGGTTTTTGTTTTTCTTATTTAGTAATTATTAGGACTGTCAAGACGATGACAGCAGAGCATTAAGCATGGGGCCACTTGTAGCTGTACAGGTCGTGTGCCCTCGATGTTGGCCTTGCTATTCCTCGTGTCTTCCCATGGACGAAGAACACAGGGAACCCCTCCTAGGCAAGATACACTCTGCACTACTCTGCTGACCTCACCCAAACTGTTGAGACATCTTTTAGAGTTGTTTTTTTTCTTCCTCACTTTCCTTCTAGATTGAAACAATGCAGGACCTTCATGTGGCGAACGCCATCTTTGCTCTCAATTTCTTCAAGCATCTGGCGAACACAAGCCCCACCCAGAATCTTTTCTTCTGCCCCTGGAGCATCTCGTCTACTATGGCCATGGTCTACCTGGGTGCCAGGGGCAACACTGCAGACCAGATGGCACAGGTGAGTTTGTGTTGAAGCTCTGAGTTAGAACTGAATGGGTTCTGAACTGGGCAGAATTGTTCTTGCTTTATGCCCAAGCCATTTTGGCCATAATAAGGTCAGCAACCATCATATGCTAATAAAGCACCCACCGTTACAACACGAACTCCATAGACTCAGATCTACCAATAGCCAAGCCGCAAAAACCCTCATCTGAAAATAGCAAAAGGCATATGGGAGTTTATCGGCTTACAAGGCTGGAAACAGTCAATAGTGACAACATCTTAGATTTTAATAATATAATGTTTATACTTTTCAAAGTGTTTTGCATGCATTATCCCATTTGGTTTTAAGACTGGTATCATTCTACAGTAGGAACCCTGGGTAGTGCAAATGGTTAAGTGCTCGGCTACTAACTGAAAGGTTGGTGGTTTGAATCCACCCAGAGGCACCTTGGAAGAAAAGCCTGGTGATCTGTTTCTGAAAGATAACAGTCATTGAAACCCCTATAGAGGATAGTTCTACTCTAACACACATGGGGCTGCTATGAGTTGGAATTGACTCCATGGCAATGGGTTTAGTTTCGATTTTTCATTCTACAGATGAGAAAACTGGTAGCAGGAATGAAGTACCTTTCCCAAGGTAGCCCAAGGTTCCCTAATTTCTGGTTCAGGGTCTTTCCCATTGCGCTACCACCATGATATTTTTGTTCCCCCAAACCCTTCTTGTAAGAAGTTCCTCTTAATTGTCTTAAGAGAGTGTCAGAGCTGTGGTCATTCAGAGATGCATGGACAGAGAGGTGGCTTCAGAGGACCTCCAGCCATATTACCAAACCTATGAGATCATATCAACAAAATGGGGCCTGGCTTCATAGCGTGGCCAGTCTTCAAGGTCAATGTGGACAGGGTGTGGAACAGCATTGTGAGATATTTCTGTACCAAGGGCAATGGTTTCCTCCCTTGGTGAATGGACACAGGCTCAGCCAGGGGACAATTTCCACTGAGTCTGGGGGCCTTCACAATATGTTGAACTTTTTCAACCTGACACTGTACTATTCCCATGGGAGTAGGATTAATTCAGCACATTTAAAATTTGCATGATCCAGTTACGTCCTATGCCAGTGACCCAACGTGGCCATCCTGTAATTAAGTTCTTTCACATTCACATACACACAGAAAAACATGAGAATTAATACTTTCAAGTACAGGTCCCAATCTCCCACAAGCACTTGTGCTTCTAGACAGACCAAACTGCCACCGGCTGCTTTCCGTTTTCCCATGAGATAGCACCTGAATATAGGTACATCTTTTAAGGTGACCCATTTAAGATGGGCCGTGTTTGAGCCAAAGGCTTTTCACAAAGAGAATGTTGGCCAATCTTGCAGCAAGAGGAGCTGCGATGAGTACATCACTCCCTGTGTTTGTGGCAATTTAAACAGAGAGAGTTACAGTGCAACTCAATTGCTCAACATTTCCCAACTCTCCTTCCGCTTTATCTTCCCTGCCTTGAAAAAATAGATAGTGAATTTATTGAAAACTTTATAAAACATCAGTGTTATTTTTTTTTTTAATGCAAAAAAGCAATATATTTTGAGTGCAAACACTGAATGAAGTGTTCTGGATTGTTAACGTAAACACAATTTTCATACCAAATGAAAATTAACTTATTGGTCACTCTGGGCACAATACAGCTTTTCCGTATCCTGAAAGTGCTTTGAGGACTTGGGACTATGCAAACATTTTATATGGGCTTCTTACAAGTCTGCTGCATGTACAGATTTTAAAATTTAAAGGCTAATTTCTTTGCTTCCCAAGTAAAAAGTGAGGAAGATGGAGGAGGAGGCAGGGGCTGTGGGGCCAGACAAATCTGTGTTTGAGTCATTGCTTTCCCACTTGCTAGGTGTGAGCAAGAGCATGAAAACCCTCTCAGTCTCAGTTTCTTTATCTATAAAATAGGACTGAAAATACACACTCTACAGGACAGTTGTGAAGAGTAGAGATAATATGTAAAGCACCTATGAGCAGTAGCTAATACCTATTAGCCAGGCACGTTGCAAGAACGTTTTATGAATTTACTCCCATAATACTCATGAGACCCTATGAGGTAGCTGCCATTATTATCAACGTCAGTTTACAGATGAGGAAATTAGGGCAGAAGAGACCACACAGTTGGGAATTGGTATACAGTAACTGGAGGAGGTAGTATAGTTGTAGTCCAAAGGAATAACAAGAAGATATAAACTCCGAAAGAGCATAGGTCTCTATGAGATTAGTGTGCCAGCAAGAAAGTTTTTTTCCCAGTTCTTATGTTTAGGGTTGAGGCAACAGACCCGCCCTTTCTGGGCAGTATAGCTGACTTGCTATTTTCTTTGTGTCCTCAACATGGCCCAGGGTCACCTCACATCCCCACCCCTACAGAGACATCTCCCTGAGTGGCCTTTGCAGTGGTTTAGGGAGGCAGCAGCAGCAGCCAGGAGACTCTTGATTTAAGCGGCATCATTTCTTTAGAAAGGAAGCTTGGTTGCTCAATGGTTAGGCACTCAGCTGCTAACCAAAAGGTCAGCCGTTGAACCCACCAGCGGTTCCACGGGAGAAATGACTTGGGGATCTACTCCCATAAAGATTTACAGTCTTAGAAACCCTACTGGGCAATTTTACTCTGTCCTATAGGGTCGCTGTGAGTCACAATTGACAATAGAAGGAAGCACTGCTTGGTCCTACACCATCCTCACAATCGTTATGCTTGAGCCCCTTGTTGCAGCCACTGTGTCAATCCATCTCGTTGAGTGTCTTCCTCTTTTTCGCTGACCCTCTACTTTACCAAGCATGATGTCCTTCCCCAGGGACTGGTCCCTCCTGATAACATGTCCAAATCACGTGAAATGAAGGAGGAAAAGAAGAGAAACAGTTGCAGGAAACATCGTCTCTTTGTGTAGAGGCAGAGGGGGTCACTTCTTTTCAGAGTATTAAGCAGGACGTATGATGTATGATTTGAAGATCACAGAAAATCCCCACAAACCCAAACACCTCTCTCCCCTAGCCCAGAAATTCACTAGCTGGCTGGACAAGTCTGCGTTTAGTTCATTAGCAGGGCCCCAATCATCAGTCTACTTACCAGATCAGCTCTTCTTCACCATGGGCCCCATGGGAATGTGCTACAGGACAAGTGTGTCCCAAAGGATGTTGCAGGGAGCCCTGAGAGGCAGGAGCAGGGTGGGGTGCTGAGACTGGCTGGGCCAGGCTGGGAGGAGGGAGTCAGAGTCAGTTTCAAAGGGGCCAGTCTTCACCTGCCAGCTTAGCTTCACCGTGTCATTTGGCCCTGCCTGTTACCATCTAAAGAAGAGACTCACAATTGTCATTTGTCCCTGTAGTTTATTCCTCGACATGGACATTAGTTTCTCTCTTTGTGTGAGTAGGGTGATGATTTAGGTGATTTTGAGATCCTTCTTAATACTGAATGACCCTTTTTTATGCTTAAAATGACTTTGACTTGTAGTTTTCGACAGGTTGGAAATATATATATATAAGGCCGTTAAATAGAGAGGTGCAAGATCCCGAGTCATCCTTATTATTTTCTTCAAATTACTGGCATTTTATCAAGGCAATTGATGGGTTGGATGATAATTTAGGAAAAAAATTATAAATTGTCTCATAATTAGTAATACGTTATTGTCCAAAATGGCCAGATACAGATTAGTATAAAATACCTCATGCTGTTTTCTGTAAGGGAAATTTAGGCTGGCTGACACTTACATATCCTATATGAAGAACATCTATCAGAAAATTCCACTATTACTAGTTTTATCCTTATGACATGGGGGGCAGTTGGTAACTGGTCTTTTAAACAGAATTGTTGTGCTTGTTCCCCATACACAAAGGCTGGAAACCAGACAAAAAAACCATGAAGAGCCACCTGATAGTCACTAGGTTTAAAAGTAATTAGCAGAAAGTGTAACCAATTCTCTCTAATTCCAATTGCAGGTGCTTCAGTTTAACAAAGTTGGAGGTCACAAAATCATCCCAGTGACCCCACGGAAGTTCACCAGCTGTGAAATCAGGCAGTGGATCCAGAAAGCTACTTATCCTGATGCTATTTTGCAGGTATCTGACTCATACATCCATCCTTCTCTTATATTTTATTTTTAGACTCTTGTCTTAAAATTACAATGTTTGATTGGTAAGGAACCTAGTGCAACTTCTCCCATTTACAGAAAGAAAACTAAGACTCAGAGTCATTAAATGAATTTTCTAGGGTCACCCAGTTAATTAGTGGCAGAACCGGGGAAGATTTCAGACTTCGTGACTTTCAGCCAAGGCTGTTTCTAAGTTTTATCATTGGTTGAGTGTGTAATTTATTCTAAAACCATGATGGCGGCTTCTAGAATACACATGCATGGATGCAGATTTCCATAGGGAAGAGGTTAGGGTATGACAAATAGTTGAGGAACGGAGAAGGCCAGGTCTGATGACATCGTGAGGGGTCACTGACTCACAAATCCCTGTCTCTCTCTCTCTCCATCCCTCTTTCTCTATTTTCTCAATACCCCATTTGCTTAAACAGCAGCTATTCAGCTAAATTATAGGAACTGGTTACAGACCTGCTACTATTGGTAGCTAACTTCCATAGTCACCCTCTGAGCTTAGGTTATTGGGCAATATCTCCCATGGCTTTCTTCCTGAGAATTCTGATGCTACATCTGCCCATCCTCAAGGGAATTATGGGCTAGATGAGATGGAGAAGGTCCCTTCACTACGGCGATTCAGCCATGTCTTTATGACCCCTGGCAATCCAGCTGGAGAGCTCTGTCCTCTGCTCCACCCCCAGGTGGCGCTGTGACTGAGCTCTAGGTCCCATAGCACCCTAGTCTATGTAGCGCCTACACGCTTCAGGCTGAATTTCCTATTTCTCATTCACTTCTGTGGTTTTCTAAAACCCAGATTTTCCACTGCAGGGCCAACTCCTTAATTGTAAAGTGGGTAGCTATAGACGCTATTTGAATTTTTTAAGACCATTATTAAGGTAGTGTTCTAATAAAAATATTTTAAGAGACCTTGGAGGTTAAACAAAAACAAACTCACTGCCATCGAGTCGATTCCAATTCATAGCGGCCCTATAGGACAGAGTAGAACTGCCCCATAGGGTTTCCAAGGAGCGCCCGGGGGATTCAAACTGCCGACCTTTTGATTAGCAGTCGTAGCTCTTAACCACAATGCCACCAGGGACTATAAAAGGAGCCTCTTCTAGGATGCTGGTTACTTTGTGGTTGAATCCAAACCATATAGCTGTTGTTGGGTGCTGTCGACTTGATACCAATCCATGGCAACCCCATGTGACAGAGTAGAACTGCCCCCAAAGGGTTTCCAAGGCTGTAATCTTTATGGAAGCAGACTACCACATCTTTTTCCCACAGAGCAGCTGGGTAGGCTCAAACTGCCAACCTTTTGGTTAGCAGCTGAGCACTTAACCATTGCATCATGAGGGCTCCATAGGCACAGCAAAATTTGAAACAAAAAATTATCTTATCGGTTTTAATGCACTACATCCCTATCAAAATCACTTCCTCAAAGATTCCTCTTAAGTACCAGAAAAGAAGTGTATATTAATACAGCGTGTTATTGTGTTGAGAAAAAAACGTTGCTTTAGAAATATCTTGTTGAGCAGTCATGTGGTATGTAAAGGGAATCCCTTCTACCTGTTTAAGGCACAAGCTGGAAATACAATCCATTCATCCTTCCAGTCTCTCATCTCTGCAATTAATTCATCCTCCGGGGGTTACTTATTGGAAAGTATCAATCAGCTGTTTGGAGAGAAGTCCACAAGATTCAATGAAGTAAGTGAAACCTGTAATTGAAATACCTAAACCAAATCCAAACCCACTGCCATGGAGTCGATTCTGACTCATAGGGATCCTGTAATTGAAATAGCAGGGCCCAAAACCTGCAACTGCTTTCAAAGCAGTTGTCTACAATCCATACAAGGTAAGTCAGAATTCCACACAGGTTCCCCATGACTGGCTGCACATAAATGACAATGGGCAATGGCAGCTGTCCCTATCCTCCCTTTTTCGGTGGCTGTCTCTCCCTGTTGTAGATTTTCCCACTTGCAGATAGTAAATCAGGACAAGTGCAACTGATTTCAAGAGCCACTATCCCCAAGACAAACTTCTTCTCTATTATTCTGTCTACAATGCAAAGCAAGGACGAGGGAGACACACAGGGAGGTAGATTATTGGCACAATAACTGCAACGACAGACTCACAATGCTGGCGACTGTAAAGATGATGCAGGACCGAGTGATGTTTCCTTCTGTTGTTATACAAGGTGGCCATGAGTTCGAGTGGACTGTATAGCAACTATCTATCAGCTATGTACAATGCTGAGCGTGCAGGAAAGCAGATAGAGTTGGGGAGAGGTCGTGAAGGCAGATAGAGTATAGGGAAGGGGATCAACTGCACACTTGTAATCTCAACTACTTCCTCTTTCAGCCCTCCCTCCCCACATCCAGCCTCCACCAATCCCCTCCCCAGACTGCCTAATCTTGACAGAAAGTCCATAATTTACAATTACACCATGGCTCATTCAGTGTAAATTCTGTGTTATCTTGGCATTTTCTTACTTTAAAGGAATACGTGAAACTCTGTAAGAAATATTACTCTACAGAAGCTCAGGCAGTAGACTTCCTAGAACATGCAGAAGAAGCCAGAAAAAAGATTAATTCCTGGGTCAAGACTCAAACCAAAGGTAAAACCAAGGAACTGCTTTCTTGTTCTTTTCACTTAGAAAATTTTGACACTAATAATGCCCACTTAGTAGAGCAGTTGGAGCCCTGGTGGCACAGTGGTTAAGTGCTACAGCTGTTAACCAAAAGGTCAGTAGTTCAAATCCACCAGCTGCTCCTTGGAAATGCCATGGGGCAGTTCTGGGGCAGTTCTGCTCTGTCCTATAGGGTCACTATGAGTCGGAATTGACTCGACGGCAATGGGGTTAGTTTTTTGGTTTAGTAGAGTAGTTGTGAGTGGTTGGAATACAGCAAGTACTCAATATCTCCCTTAAGAAACTCTCTTTTGCTCCATTCTGAATTAAATAACTCATGTATAACTGCAAAACTTAGAGAAAACAAAATAAAAGGAAGTGAAAATATCCTTTCCAAATTTAATAGTAAATCTCAATTCTAAATCCAATATTCCTTCATTTTTCTCTTGGATTTCACAAACCTGAGAAATTTGATCTGTGTTTCAAATAAATCTAGAGAAAAATTCAAGCCTGACAGCATCTCTGCAGGGTTTGAGAAATGTGGACATTGAGTTTGTTAGCTACTCAAAAAATTCAAGAAATCATAATAGCTTCACAGTTCTTGATCATGAAACCTAGACATATGTCATGTTTTCTGCAGGCAAAATCCCAAACCTGCTACCAGAAGGTTCTGTGGACAGGGAGACCAAGATGGTCCTGGTGAATGCTGTTTACTTCAAAGGAAAGTGGAAAACTCCATTTCAGAAGAAACTAAACGGGCTTTATCCTTTCCGTGTGAATGCGGTAAGAGGCAATAAGATGCATTTTCCTAGCATATATTTTAGGACCTTAGATAGATAGCGATGGAAAAATTAGAGATCACTTAGTGATGCACCTAAATGACTTGCTAGTTGTAAGTTATGCACATTGGGCAATTGACAGACCCCTTCAAGCTACTGAATATCACTCAGTAACTTATGAGAAAGGAGCCCTGGTGGTGCAGTGGTTAAGTGCTCAGCTGCTAATCAAAAGGTCTGCAGTTTGAAGCCACCAGTCACTCTGAGGGAGAAGGATGTGGCAGTCTGCTTCTGTAAAGATTATAGCCTTGGAAACCCTATGGGGCAGTTCTATTCTGTCCTACAGGGTCAGTATGAGTCGGAATCGACTGATGGTAATGGGTCTTTTTCTTTTTCAATTTATGAGAGGCAGTGTGAGCAGGGATGAAGATCATGGATTTTATATTACACAGATCTGCTTTGACTCAAGTGTTGGTTCTGCCACTTACCAGCTATGACCTTACTGATCTTCCATGCCTTCCATTTCTTGATCTGTAAAACTGGGATAATAATAATATCCAACTCAAAATATTGCTGTAAGGATTCTATGAGATTTAGCAGAGTTCCTGGCCCATAAAGGAGTCCTGGTGGCACAATGCTTAAGTGCTAGGCTGCTAACCAAAAGGTTGGTAGTTCGAACCCACCCAGCGGCTCCATGGGGGGAAGATCTGGTGATCTACTTCCATAAAGATTACTAAAAAATTGGTTTCCCCCTTAGGAAACCCTATGGGGCAGTTCTACTCTGTCACATGGGGTTGCTATGAGTCAGAATCTACCGACAGCACCTAGCAACAACGACAACATGGTCTCCATAGTGGGTACTCCACAAATATTTTATTTATTTATTATTATTATCCATCTTAAAAATGGGTGTAAACTTGAAAACACCAATAAAATCAAAGCACCCACTACAAGGATATACAAATGATTTTTTTGTTGTTGATTATTTAAAACATATTTCTTCAACACCAAAGCAGAACCCACTGTCTTTTATACCTAACTGTAAATCTCTCGACATCTTAGTAGCAGCTTTCATATTTACTTTATAAAAATTTCAGACTGAGCGCAAACCTGTACAGATGATGTACTTGCACGAAAGGCTGAACATTGGGTACATAGAAGACCTAAAGGCTCAGATTCTAGAACTCCCATATGCTGGAGATGTCAGCATGTTCCTGTTGCTTCCGGATGGAGTTGCCGATGTGTCCACCGGCTTGGAGTTGGTAAGGCATTCCTACTTCAATTGTTTTAAACTTCTGGGGCTAACTCTACCTCTCATGAGATGAACATGTCTACATCTTAGGAAATATGTGAATTGGCTGAGAGTAAATACACCATGTCTCAAACTTTCATTCAAAGTATTTGGTTCAGACTTTTCTGTTCTATATGTCACCTTCTTGCAAAAATTTGACCAATCTATCACATTTTTACCTCACCCGCAATAGTAAGGTCGATGATTTTTAACATTACACTTAAATAGAGTTGTTTTACTTTTTTAAAAAATAAACACTTACTGGTAATTTTTGGATTTGCAGCTGGAAGGTGAGATAACCTATGACAAACTTAACAAGTGGACCAGCAAAGACACAATGGTGGAAGATGATGTTGAGGTGTACCTGCCCCAGTTCAAGTTGGAAAAGCGTTATGAACTCAAACCCATTCTGAGAAGTATGGGCATAAGTGATGCCTTCAGCAAAGGCCAGGCCAATTTCTTGGGAATGTCAGAGAGGAATGACCTGTTTCTTTCTGAGGTATTCCACCAAGCTGCCGTGGATGTTAATGAAGAGGGCACGGAAGCAACTGCTGGCACCGGGGCCATTATGACAGGAAGATCTGGCCACGGAGGCCCACAGTTTGTGGCAGATCATCCTTTACTCTTCTTCATCATGCACAGAATGACCAGGAGCATCCTCTTTTTGGGCAGATTCTCCTCACCCTAAAATTGAAAGTTTCTGTTTCTGCACAGGAGTTTGTAGCGTGAGCTGTAAGCTGCAGAGTTGCTATCTCAAGTGCCAAAAGTTTAAAAACTTTGCCTACATATTTCTGTTTTTCTGAGCAACTTCTACAGATTAAAAGTGACTAGTTATGTAAGTCACACTAAATATAAATACATAAATAACTAGATAACCCTGTCAATCAAAATGTGACAGCCGTATTAGTCACCTGGTCCCCTAAAATGGGATGATGTCCCATCTTCCTCCCTA